GAATCATTGGTACAACCCTCCCTTCTCTCCAAGAAGTGATTTTGATCCAGCACACTCCCTCTTTGAACTGTTGCCATCTGGTTGACACTACAGAGCTCTGAGCACCAGAACGGCCAGACACAGGAACAGTTTCTTCCCTCAGGCAATCCATCTCATGAATACTTGACAATAACTGTGGAACACACACTATTTATTCACTCATACACTTATTTATCTAACACGCACACTCAGTCTACATTTCAATTTGCACATAATATACCTGTACATACAATTGTCGATTTGTATATTTTTATTCCTTATTTACTTGTTCTATTTTTTATCATCTGTGTTTTTTGTTCTGTCACTGTGATTCTGTTACACTGTGGAAGCTTCTGTCACGAAAACAAATTCCTCGTATGTGTAAACATACCTGGCAATAAAGCTCATTCTGATTCTGATATATATGTATGGAGATAATACCGCATACCGTGCTATTGAGCGACTCAAAATTACCGCAAGGGAAATTCCCTCACCGCGACAGCCCTAGTGAGTAAATGATGACAGAATTTAAAAAAAAAACATTTAAAAAAATCTTACCAACCCTACATTTTTTAATGGTACTAGCGTATTAGCTGTCCAAACAATGACACAAGAATGTGGTAAAACATCTAATGTATGTCACATTGACCCAGTTCAGGTATATCATGATAATTCTAAAACAACAAGCCCGTTAAATCCAAATATTATTATAAGCAACAACAAAAAAAGCAACTGACAAAAACCAAACCTTATCAACAATCCTGAGGAATCCCGATATTAAATCCTGGTCCTCAGATTCATCTGGAGATGAGTGAATAAAGACTCCCTCGTGTTCAAACACCACCTGCAAAACAAAGAAAAACTAAGTATATACAAACAGAACATTACACAGTTTGATTTACAGTGACCAGAGATATTATTCTCTCTAAATAGGTCACTAAAAGCAAACATTTCAAGATCCTGTTATGTTACTCCACTCCCTGTGCCTTAAAAGGCAAGTTAGTCTGCAGCCTGAGGCTTGAACTTAAAGGAGTCATATGATCTTGCTAAAAAGAAAATTATTTGGTGTATTTGGTGTAATGAAATGTGTTCAAAAAGGTTAAGGTTCAAAAAACACATTATTTTCCACATACTGTACATTATTGTTTCTCCTCTATGCCCCGCCTTTCTGAAACGCGTCGATATTTACAAAGCTCATCGGTCTGAAAAACGAGGTGTGCTCTGATTGGCCAGCTATCCAGTGCGTGATTGGCTGAATACCTCAAGTGTGTGACGGAAATGTAACGCCCCTTGCCATATTGTGATGCCTTGTCCCGGCCGGAGCGATGAGACAAAAACATTAAAACCCGTTAGGCATTTGTTGCATCCAGTGGGGACATAATTACGGATTATAATGACTTATGCTGTTTTTATACGCGTTGCGTTGTAAACATAAAACCATGTCTGCATTTGTGATCGGAGAAATGACAAACAACAAGTGCTACTCTACACTGCCCAAAAAACTCACGTTTGAATCGTCAGTGGCAAATTCTTTAAACATAAAAAATGTACTTCGTCTACCAGGATCAGGAAACAGTCCTCCATAACATGCGCTGGACACATCTGAATATTTGGGTTAAACTGTTCTGGAACAGTGTTGTAAATACAACTTAACCACTGATTTCTAGTCGTGTCCTCTTTTGGAAGGCCAAACAAAGTAGTTTCGCTTTCACAACGAAACAGCGTCACACACGGCGGCCTAGAGTGAGCAGAGGCAGGGGGCTAGAGTGAGGAACGGCTGGAGGGCTAGAGTGAGCAGAGGCGGCGGGCTTGAGAACGACGCGGCCGGCGGATTCGACGAAGGAGGCTTGCGGCAACCACATGTGACGACCCCGGGCTGGACTCCGCTTCGTCCATGGTGAAAGTCGATCCGGCGATCTACAGTGCGAAGATGTATTTCCTCAGTGACTAGCATGGATCAGTTCCAGGCATGACGAAAAACTATATCGTCCTCTTTTGGAAGGCCAAATAAAAGTAGTTTCGCTTTCACAACGAAACACAGCGCCTTCACGACATGGCGGTGGCAGCAACAACAATACTACAGCGAGAATAAAAGTTACGCCTTGTTTCTTTGCGTGTGCATTTGGGCGGCATTATGCAAATCTTCCCACATCGTGACGTAGACATGTGGGGGCGTGTTAGAACGAGCCGTTTTAGGTAGGCCTGGCTGACTCTTAACTTTTATAAAGAATATCTCTTTGGATTTGAGACTTTAGTCTTTGTAACTTTACAGATCTTATTTATGCACCAAGAGCTTGTAACACTCCAAAGAGAAAGGAAAAATTGAAATCGCATCATATGACCCCTTTAAGGAACTTACAACTCCAGTCATACTGACACAAACAGAATGTTCTTGCAGGCTCCCTTACAATAAAAAATTATGACACTGATCGCTGCAAAACTAAAAATTGCCCTTGGAAAACAAAACCCTGCAATAACATGCACCACATGAGCAATGCACATAATTTCTATATTAAATCTGTGTTGGTAGCTGTAATTGCTAACCATCAAAACATCATGGTGGTAAAGGAACTTGCTCATGCATGAGTAACAGAGTAAACAGAGACGAGAAAACGAGAAACAAAATGAAAATTTGGTTCTGTAGTACCAAGAAATAGCTTATTAAGAGAATTGAAAATATGAAAGCCAGTTTCCTTATGGAATTAATTCACCTGAATCAGTGAATAAACTGTCAGTCGTCTAGCTCAAAACATGTTTATGATCTAGAATCTAGATTATGATGTTCATAAACCTGCCAGGCAACTCATGACTCAACACTAGTTTAAGCACAGACACAACTGGGACTTTTTTTTTTTACTGTCCAAACGCCCCAAATACGATCGATATTGCATTCGCGAAGGAACTGGCGGCGTAAACGCTGCTTCTGACGTCCGTGTTTTTCGCAGTTTTATGAGCTGTATGTCAGGGTGTTTGGGTGTTAGCAGCCAGGCTAACTGTTGCTAAACAGCAGTTTATCAGACCAGTCTATCACCTATTTCCCAACACCGACAGCTCAGAAAGCTAGTCAAACAGAATATCTACGCCAAAACCCACTTATAAACACCGGTAAAATGCAGCTATTTGTCGTTTTGACCGTGTATTGACTTATAAAGCAGCATGTTCAGTACCTTGGGAGGAGTTGTGGCCGCCATGTCGACTGCTATATAGACTACGTAGCACCGCTCACGTGCCTGTCAGAGATCCACAACAACACTGACGAGTCATTTTCCTCATGGCCAACGCCACGCATGCGCACTGACATATTTGTTCAATAATAATAATTATTATTATTATAACAACAATAATGATAATAATAATAATAATAATTAGAAGTTTGCAGTGGTTGCCCTGAAACTGCTTTACATGTATTTTTGCCACTGTGTTATTATATTTACATTTATTTATTTACTTAATTTATATTATATTTATATATTTACTTGTTAATTTACTATCAAAAACTTTTCTAACTTTGTGACGTTACTGTGTGAAATCACAAACCGTAGTAAGCACTATTTGAATGACAAAGCTATCGAGATTTTATGTATTTGTAATTTGTATAATTGGGAAATATAAATTGTTAATATGTCTTGTTTTGTCTCGTTTTTGTTTTGAGCTTCTTTTCTCTCTCTCTCTCTCTCTCTCTCTCTCTCTCTCTTTTCCTGAAAGTCAGATCTTTTTTTACTGAATTTTCATCAAGGAGAAACAGTTACAAAACATACATACACATATGCATCGTAATCGACTAGTTATACCTCTACGACAAAAATCTGTCATATTGCTGCTATTATAGCCTATCTATTATCTTTTTTCGACAACAGAGATGTCTTTTCAGTTTTACTGTTGTTCTTTATATGTATAAAAAAATAAGGAATCATAAAAAATCTTTAAGTTAGTGGAAAACTATCTACTATTGGGTACAACTGACATTATTTTACTAATGTTATATTTTCCGAACACAGTAAGAATTTTAATTGTATTGTCAATCTCCAATCTCTAATAAAAAAAAATGGTATCACAATTCATAAACAAGACCATTTTATCCGTTATTTGAATTATTTTGTCAGAAACTTCAAAAACAGTTAACGAAATTTGAGAACAAAAAGATTTAGTATAAATAAAACTGAAAAAGTCAGGCTTTATGTACTGGCTCTACATTATTCGCAGACGAGCTTCGATTGTCCTCTAGTGGTTCACACTACAATGAGACTTTTATTTTGAAATGTAACTCACACTGGCGGCAGTGTTGCCAAGTCCGCAGGTTTACCGCGGAATTGGGCTACTTTATCACTGTTGCCACGGGTTGTTTTTTATGGAGGACGAAACCTGCAAAAACAATAAATAAATAAATAAATGCACAAATAAATAAATAAATGTGTGCATAAATACACGTATTCTTGTTTAAATACATAAATAAATAATTAAACATGTGATGAAAGTAGGCAAATAAATAAAATAAATTGGTGGGCAAATGGAAAATGTTTAAGGAAATGCTAAACTCATCCTATTTATTTTCCTTTGATCACTCATTTATTTCTGAATGTAGTTCCGCGTTTATTTTTCCTCTGCACAACATGCTAACCAGAGGGTGTCAATTACGAAAGAGTAGGCGGATCGTGTGTGACGCGCTTGAGCGTTTGCCTGTGCATGCCTATTAACTTCATCAGTCAAGGGGACTGATTATTATCTAACACTTTTTCATAGGGCTAGTTTTGTAGTTATAATCATGAGAGAGCTAAATCATAAAATATTTTAAGTGGCCAATGTAAAATATTAATGCTTACATAGCTCTTAATTGCAATACTGAATCGTTATTTTCTTAATAAACATACTTTTGTCACCTGTATTTTCTGTTCTGATAACTAATGGGAAAAAATGGTCTGTTCCTCGATTAAACCACTTCATACCAGTTCTCAAGGATGTATATGAGCCTCTGTTTGTACAATAATAAATTGAGAATCAACTGACATGTTCCCTTGTGTATGTCATTAATTTGATTCTCCCGCCGTAAAGAGAGAGAGATTGCTGCAGATCGACTTGGTTGTAGAAGGCTGTTTACTGACCATAAAAATGATCTTACACATACCTAAACAACGAGCAGGTAAAACCATCCTAATAAGAGTGTGAATTTTACCAGGGGAACCCCGTCAAAAACGTGTATTTTACCCCCAGAACGCAATTTTTAACGGGGAGCCCCCCTTGAAATGCTATTGAGCTAGTTTTGAGTAGCACTTGGGCGGGTTTTGTTGTGAAAACCTGGCAACCCTGACTGGCGGGAAACTTTTTGTGTCGGTATATGATCATGCATAGCTACGGATCTTGAGAAGTGAGTGTATTTATTTACGAATGTAGCATACTTCTGTGCATTCATGCAGAAAGTCAACTGTGGAGTGAAGGTAATATTTGACTTGTTTTGTCTTGCCAACGTTTCAGATGATAGGTCTACAGAGCAGGGATAATTGTGTGATTGGTGGATCCTGACACAGAGGAAACAGATAAAGGAATGGTTCAAATAGTTATTTCAAGGTTGGTGTGAAGACTTAAGCTATATTTTTACAGGTCATGGTCTACAAGTGCTTGTTGGAAATGGTTTTCGGTGTGTTCTGCAGTAAAGCTGGTGAAGGTCCAGCTGAATGGCTGCTGGTGGAGCTGCAGGGAGAAATGGTGTCCAGACAAAATACTGGACTTGCAGGAAATCTGATGGGAGACCTGCACTACACTAAAGAGGTTTGTCCTTCTCTAGTAGTTGGTCACATATAAGCCCCCCTAATTTATTTATTTATTTGGACTAAATATGGAAACAAATCAAATTATAAAACACTTTTATATCTATTTACCAATGGTAAATTATTGATTTTTCCTCTCTCCAAGGGTGTACCGGTCCTTGTAGTCGGACATCACATCCTCTATGGCAAACAGGTTAAACTGGAGAAGCCCTTTGCTGTTCTGATGAAGCATTCCGGACTCCCTCAGGATGAAGAGGAAAACATGGAAACCAACCAAGAGAACCCAACATCTTACACCGTTTCCGCCCTCATTAAAAAGAAGCTCATCTTTAAAACCCGACCAAAACCCATTATCACTAATGTGCCAAAGAAAGTATAACTTATGTCCAGATATCAGAGACTAACTGATCGGCGCAAAATTCTAGATTTATAACCATATGTGAATATATACATGTGGTTTTGAATAGTGGATTAGAATCTTTGTACATTGTTGTCAGGAATGTGTAATTGACAATAATGTTGAACAAATATAATTATTCTAAGTAATAGGCCAAAAGTACATTTTAAAATCAAAAAAAGAAAAAGAAAATGCTCACTTTTCAATTGAAGTTTATTGTATCGAAACAACAGTTATTAAATAATTACATGGGAAATGTCCAAATGTAAAGAATCCAGCTTCTTTTACATACAACAGAATGTACATAAATACATAATATGTAAAGTTCATGTGAGATTAAAAGACCTTGATGGCCATTTCTAGGTATTGTACACTGTGGAAGTACAGGTTAGCTGTGACACGCAGACTAAATGGTGCCAATCCATTAACACTTGAATATTTAATTTTGTGAGTAGACGTAAGCTGCCGATGGTGATCTGTAAAACAACTGCATTTTGGTTAAAAACACTTAACCTCTCCTATTATGGATTATGAATAATTTATTATTCCCTAATCTGTACAATGTTATGAAAATAACTTAACATGTTTTCCATAAAATACAATTTCCTAGGAAAATGTGTCAGGATTCTTGCATGTTTAAAATATCTTTGAATTTGACATTACAAAAATATATATTACTTTACAATACACTTGAAAGAAGTATGACCTAGTTTTCACTGATAAATTTAACCATCTACATATTAATTGGTTGTGTTTGCCAGACAGCAGAGCAAAACTCTGCTGCCCCCCCCCCATCCCCATCCCCATCCCATCTTTTTAAAATTCATTTTTAAGTCCCTCACTCTGTTCCTGAGGAGCATATCAGCCATCCAGCCTACAATTGAATTGCATAAAATCTGAAAACACACAAAAGTGAACAATGCAATCCCAAGTTTGACTGTAAACATGGTATATAGCTCTGGTTTCTTAATTGCATTGCGTCGTCAGAGTCATCTTATTTTTGCAGCCTTAGAGGATGCTGCAGTCCGAAGCAGTTCACTGTTAAGACACAGTTATCACATGTAATGCACGAGCAAAAGTCGAGCGGGCAAATGTTTCATAAACTCGAAGCTTCTCTATAAACTTGCACACATATTCACACTAGCCTCAGTGTCTAGGTCTCTGCCAGAGTTTAATGTGTGTTTTGGGGGGAAGGGAGCAGAGAAAGTGGTGAACCGCTACCAAAGTAAATCTACTAATTTGTTGCATGGGTGGGTTGAGGGTGGAAAAACAGTCCACTGTACACCTTTGATCCATATATGGTAATCCTTAAAACCACCTAACATTGCATACCATAAACAACTTCAGTCCACTTTTTTTGCTTTTATCTTTCTAGCTAACCGAACATTTTAATTAAACTAATGGAAATAAAATAGTATATATATGTTAAATAGTATATATATGTTAAATAGTTTATATGTTATAGGAAAGGGTCGTAAGAATTTGCAAAGGTGGTCAGATTCTGTAACAGGCTAACATGCAGAATTAGCTAACATGCTTTATATAAATAATCAGTTTGGGGGTGAGAAAAAGCTGTAACAATCATGACATCCTGGGTCCACATCATGCCTCTTAGGTTAAAAATAATCTCACCAGGTAGTGAAGCATGAATGAAATGTTATTAAATTATAAGCCTCTATAGAAAATTACTATTAGAAATGCTATTCAAAGTCTGTAAACAAATGTAATGTGTAAAGTTTCAGGCAGTATAACTGGACAGTTTTATTTATATATATAATGTAACACTGTTTATGCTTTGAAGTTCTCAGAACTAGGGGGAAAATTTTAATAGTTTTAAGTATTACTGACCATGTTTGTTATGTCTCTGGTTCTACCACCTATAATGAAAATAATTAAAAAACAAATTTATCTTATACTTCTCGCAAGTTTGTCTTATAGGTAAAAAAAAAAAAAGGAGAATGGGAATAAAAATAGGAAATCAATCTTTCCTCCATTTTTTTTTTAAACTAACACACAGGAACAAAACATTCTAGATGCTAGAGAAAATCCTCTTTGGTTGCCTGACACTATCCATTTACTGGAACTGGATGTTACTATATACATCTTGAACTGTAAACATGTACAGTGTAGTAAATATTTGTGGAGTACCATAAAATTCTCATTTAAATGCTGTTTGTACTTTCTTGAATGTTCTATCATGCTACCCCACAAAAGGATCTGCAGCACCACAATTTTTAATGATGAAATATAGAATTATGCTGGATTGTCAGATAAAAGACGTTAAAATACTGACTGGGTTTGGCAAACTCAATGTCTTATGCAGGTTTCCTCAAGTGTTGGCACACATCTCTCATTCCTTGAAAGTTCACATTCTGTCTAATTATAAATCCAAGCACCAATATAGTCCCTTAACTTAATATGAGTGTGCCAGCTTAACTACATTAACTTATCACTCTTGCACTAACCTTTGGCTCAACTTTTTGTTTCCACCTTGGCTGGCCGCCTCCTTATTGTGTGCTTTATAATCAAGAGAAGCACCATTCCTGATGTCAGCTTTTGTAAATTATGGCTCTCTCAAAAACTCCACTGTTTGAAACCTCTCAAGTAGCCATAGCTAACAGCATCCGGCAGCTTGGACTTGCACATGATCCATAATTATAACCAAGATTGCAGCACCAGGTAAAGACGGGGCCATTTCAAATGAGCCCTGACAGCATGTAGAGATCTTTTGGAGAGACCATGCTAGGCTTCCGCATAGGATAGGTGATACTGTTCCTCTCTTTTGTTACAGCGCTTAGCCACTATGGCCAGGTAGAGCACCAGGAGTATGAGCCAGTAACAGGCATAGAGGATGGTGCCTGCAATGAGAAGAGCCTTTTCTGTCTCACTAAATGGCTCTTGCACCTCACAGTAAATGGTGTAAACCACGCCACCGAGCAGTATGGCTGCCCACACGGTCACAGGCACAGCCCCAATTAGGTTTACCACTATCTTTTTCCTGCCTGATGTTCCCCAACCTGCTTTGTTAATAGTCAACAGGGCAAAGATCTTAGCAGGCAGCAGGCTTGACATGTAGAGTAGTGAATACAGTGACATGAAGATCATGACAAGCCTGCCCCGCAGGAAGCAGGCATAGGTGGCTTTCACCATGCCCACCAGTTGGACTGTAAGCAAGAAGAGCAAGATGTTCCATAACCGGCCTCGGTAGAACAGGTGGATGACTGTAGCCACCAGAAAGAAAGGGAAGAACCCGGTGACCACAGATTCATAGGTCATCCAGAGGCTGTGCTTGTGGAACCACAGGGCATTGTAGAGCCACTCTCGAAAGTAAGACTTGCTCCAGCGGGTCTGCTGGTTGAGCCAGCGCAGATATTGAGTGGGGGTCTCGGTTTGGCATTGTGAGCGTGCCGTGAACTTGGTTTTGTAGCCAAAGCTGAGGACGCGGTTGGTGAGGTGGCGATCATCCCCGAAGCTGCACTTGCTTCCTAGGAAGGTCTGATGGTACCAGGGCTCCAGGAACTGCTGAAGAAGAGAGTTGCGGTACATTCCCAGAGGTCCACTGATACACTGCACACATCCAAAGTAAGACTGGCATGCCCGCTCTACGTTGAAGGCCATCCAGTAACGGACACTGCTCAGGAAGGAGATCCAGGAGTCGTACTTGTTCAGAATCTGAAAGAGACGATGAAAGAACTTTTGGTGAGTACTCTACAAAAGAAGAAACCCACTGGAAAACTTCTCAAATTAGTTTGTTGAAAGGGACATAAAAATTACTAAAATAGGCAAATTTCTCACCTGAACATCTCCTCCAACACCACCCACTTCCGGATCCTCCTCTAGAACCTTCAGCATCTCAATGGTGCATGCTGGATCAAGTACAGTGTCGGAATCACATACCTGCAAACAAAACCAAGAGATATATACAATGAATTAGAAGACTTCTCAAGAATTTAACTCGTGTACAACTGTTTTCCTTTTTTCAAGTGAGGCTGATGTTGATTGTCTGTACAATGCAAGGACTGTTGAAAGAAACTAGTGGCACCACAAACATTGTCTCACAGATGTTTCAAGGTCATCTTTGTTTCTGAAGATATCAGTCATATGTTGAACAATGAAAGGCTGATGACAGCACAGGTGTGTTCAGGACTACAGGTGAAGGTAAGTAGTAAGACTGATCTTTGACCTCAGTGTTGCAAGGATTCGGATTACAGTGGCATTGAGGAAACTATAAGGTGATAGCAGACTATGGATAGTGACAGTAAATTGTTGTCTCACCAATATTAAGGTAATGTGGCCTTCTGAGAGCAACAAGTAAGCATGTCTGGAATGAATGCTCTTTATTCCTATTACTTTAGGGGTAATTGTCGTATTATTGTGTGAACATTTATTCATGGATTCAGGATTCTTTCCGTTTGATTAATTTTAGGTTGTTAGTGGGGTCTAGACTTACCTGTATGTAATCCACAGTATCTCCCAGTGCTTTGAAGGCTGTATACATGACCTCCCTCTTGCCGCCCCACTCTTGCATGATGCAGGAGTAACGACAGCTCCGCACCACCCTGGCCACCCGTGCAGCTTCCTCAGCATGCAACGAACCTTTCCCTCCTCCCCCATCCCCATCCCTATGGTAATTCCCCTTCCACACCACACAGCCTGTCTGCTCCACTCCCCCTATCACCTCCTGGAAGATGTCCATCATGTAAGCATCCTCCTGCCGATTTCCATCCACCACCAGCACTACTTTAAGCCCGGGAAAAGAAATGCGGCGAATGCTCCAAAGACACTTGCGAAGGTAGTCCGGATCCTCCTGATAGGCTGCGATGCAAAGGGCCACAGTGCGCCGCAGGTGCTGGGGTCTGGAAGGGCCACGCATTTGTCGGTGCTCTAGGAAGGCAAAGAGGCTCTGCAGGAGGAGGTGAAGGGATAGAAAGGCTCCGTACAAGCCAAAAGACAGGTGGTGCTGCTCAGTGTGGATGAACTGGTAACCTGTCACATAAGCCAGTAGGATGGCAAAAAGCACCACTGCCGCAAATAGGGTGGTGATGAAGATCCGCACCGCAGTGCCAAAGCAAGAGGGCATCTGAAGAGAAAGAAAAAAAAGATGACATAATTAAGGGTAGAAAAAACATCATTACCTCTTCTACTCTCTCCTTACCTGACCATTTCCTCTTTTCTCCCCACCAACAAGTAGCTCTTTCTCTATAGTGGAACAGTGATGTTTAACAGTTTTGAAACAGCACAAATCCAAATATCAAAAGCAAATATCCTAGTAGACATGTAGGGAGATCTTATGTATTTTAGTAATAAGAATTTAATTTTAAATTACAGTGAATCTCATGATGACATGAATTCACCCCAAAATCAATAGGGAAAAAAAGAAATTATAATAATAAAAAATAGAAATCATATTTTGAATAAATTTAAAAAATCTTATTTTTATGACTATCAAGATTTTTTGCATCCATGCATTTTACCTCCAAATTCCCATTAATCTAATGTGTACAGATGTTTTAATTTTAAGTGTTTGTTATTCCTAATGTAATTATTTCCAATTAATATATAATTATATAAAACCGTAGACGTAGAAATAATAATTATTTTTTAATAAAGCCAACATTAAAGCTCTACAACAAATACTAATATTATGTATTTTACAACTTTTAATTGTATATAATTTTTTTGCATTATGGTAATAAGAATGGGATTAGTTTAACATTAAAGTAAAGAGAATTTGGGAGGGGAAAATTATTAAATTAATTAATTAATTATATATATATATATATATATATATATATATATTACTTATTTATTTATTTTTTGACAGGCTTTGTGAGATTCACCAACAGAAAGGAAACAAAAGAAGAATGATTCAATAATGTTAATGTATATAAAAAATAAAAAAAACTTGGCAACAACTGACATTGTGACAATATTAGAATACTACAAACTTAATGTGAACCTCTCTCTCAGTCACTCTCTCTCTCTCTCTCTGTCTTTCTCAGGTTAATGACTTTAATTAAAGGCTAGAATGAGTTTGGCAGGTGTGTGGCAACCAGACTAGGGAACAATCCCCCCCTTTCATTCATTCAATTGCCTCCTGGTCCACCTTTCATGAAAGAAAGAGCCGCTTCATTCAGTGCCCTCATATCATAACAGCCACCGCAATGGAGAAGAGTGGCAGAAATAACGCTGACTTCCACTGAAGTGGTTGTTGATTTTTCTACCACAGTAACTGACTGTTCTCACAGTTATTTACAGCTGCACCAGACCAGTACTTAGCTGTTTTACGTCATATAATTCCAAGAAATACATAACTGATCCTTTCATATTAGCAATTTGGGTTTAACTTTAAGCAATGTATCTGGAGTTAGAACGGCCAAAATTCCCAAATGTTGCCTGCGCACTATAATGGATTTATCTCTTTCTTGTCTTGTCCTATACATTTACTTGTGATATGAACAAAGACAAACCATATAGACCTTGAGGGTCAGATAGAGACAGCAGGCAGAGTGTTATGTTTGACCGTAATTAGAGGGAATCTTCTTGCGGAGGCTTGTTAGCTCAGAGGGACGGGTGTGAAGAAGAGCCCCATGTCAAACAGGACACTAACCATCACTCAGTCCCCAAACACTGCAAACAAACCCACTACCATATGTGTGATGACAGGCATAAAGGTGTTTAAATTACAGCCTTTGATCACTTGGTAGGATTGTTATGTCAATTTAAGATGCACAACCAAGATTAGTGGCAAATGCAATTATTTGCTACATTGCAACCTGGATGTCACAGTATATGCCAGAATATAATGACTGAAAATGAATAATCTTTTAACTTTTGACAAATAAAAAAGGTCAGAGGTCAATGGTTACTCACTGTTGTCATGATGAGATATTCACGATCTTATTCGTGGAGATCAGTCCATGAGAGCTCAATTATCTCAAATCCGTATTTATGCCTTTAATAAATCTATTTAATTCCATAAACTGCAGGATGTTGTTCTCAGATCTGTTTGCCTTGTGAGTAATGGTAGGGGATGATCATGGGCAATCATGCATTCTCAGCCCTGACAGAAGTAGACAGGATCCAGAAGTGCTGTATGAAGTCATAGGTGCATTGCAGGTTGGTGGGGGGGGTAACCAGCCGAAGCCTCTTGATAGTCTGTATTCTCAGGTGTGGACCAGACAGAATGAGGACTTTTGGATGCAGGACACTGACAAAGGGAGGAGGTGGGAGAGGAATGAAGGGGGGCTGGGAATCACCAGGACCAAAGAGGGAGGGCAGCAGGTGAGAGGAAGTGAGATGAATGGCTGGAAGGGAGAGCATGATGTGTTTGGGTAAATTGAGTATGTGCCAGTACAATGTACTAATGTACATTATAATTATAATGATCAACTGAAATAATGATCAAATGAGACTGTCAGATACAGAATATACAACATTTAAACTTTTTAAACCGCATTCTCCACAGTCATGTCATGATGTGATTGGTGTTATAGCTCCTTAACAAGAAGACTTAAAATTGTTAATGGGTCAATGATGTGATGTTTTTTTATTTATTTATTGAATTAATTAATTTCTGCCCTGGATCTATTAAGTTATTTAAAAATACATAAAAAATGTAATTCATTTAACAATATAAAAATGACTTGAATACATTTCTTCTATGACAAACATGGCTTCAGTTTCTGAATTAAATGTTTATATATATTTTTTTAAGTCAAAATTGTCTAGGTAGTGTAACTTAATGGAGATTCTAAGAAATAAAATAAAATAAATACAAAAATAAGAAGTGACATTCAAAAATATTTTAAAAAATACTTTATTTTATATATGCCATATGCCAAATATTTAAATGCCAAATCAAAGTTAATGTGGTGCATAACCAACATGAAGGAAAGCTGTCATGTGACAAAAAAGTCAACCAACAAAGATTACACTTCTAAGAATTTGACACATTTTAAACAAGATTTTTCAATAATTTCAATAAAATGAGAAGAACTTTAGAGAAAATGTAGAAATAAAAAAAAGAAAACAAAACACTAGGGGGCACCTACAGAGATTTCAGCCTCTCACATCCAATATCCAATATCCAAAGCACCCAGAATCATGTATTCCTTGTGTTTTAATAATTTAATGTTCACATTCAGTTATATAAAACTGATTTAACAATATTGAAGTTGCTATAGGATAATATATACAATCATTTTTATCCTGTTAAATAAACTTTATAAAACACATCAGATTTCCACAAAAACACATTGGACTTGCATGTAATCATTAACAAGTCTATTATAAATTCTGTGAACATTTGCTCATTATTCTGGTCCCAGGCAAAGTGAACAAACCCAGAAGCATTTTTCAAAACTCTCACCAGACCCTTGTGTTGTCAATCTACTATATGATGACATGGAAACTAAACAGACATAATTTTCCTTAATTGGGCAACAACTCTTAAAACACAAATTATGAAGCTTTCCTGTTTTACCCCGTCCTGCTGCCCACTTATTTACTCAGCCTCAAGGCACTAACAAGGGTGCCAGCAAACCATGGGCCTTATTCCACTAGGACTAAGACTGCAATTACTAAAAACACACATATGAGGACCTTAAAAATCTCAAACATTCACTGATTCTCTCAAGTTCAATTCTAAAAGCTATCCATAACCATTTATTTTTAAGTTATTTAGTGCAGCAGTGATTTTTTTAGTACCCTGTACAAACACAAGCTTACAGTAACCTATCTGTGTGAAAACACAGCCACCCAACCTAAAACTCCACTCTTTGACTCTCTCTCAATTTTAGTATCACACACACATACAACCACACAATGAACATATGACAGAGCTCTCAAGCTGCATGCTTTCATATTTCAATCCACTCCCACAATAAACACAGACACAAGATGAAACTCAAGTTGAATTAAACGTCTCTTACCTTCCCAGCCCCGCAGATGTGACGGTGGGCTCTCTCTCTTTCTCTCTCAGCCAGTGTGTGCGAGTGTGTGTCTGCCAGGCATCTGCTCCACTCCTCTCC